TACTCTTCCCCTCCCCCTTTCTGTGAATACTCATCCCTTTTCCCCCTCTCAGGGACTACTCATCCCTTTTCCCCTCCTCAGGGATTACTTATCCCTTTTTCCACTTTCAGTGATTAATCATCCCTTTCCCCCTCTCAGTGATTACTCATCCCTTTTCCCCCTCTCTGTGATTACTCATAACTTTTCCCCCACTCAGTGATTACTCACCCCTTTCCCCCACTCAGTGATTACTCACCCCTTTCCCCCCTCTCATAAATTACTCACCCCCTTTCCCCCACTCAGTGATTACTCACCCCCTTTTCCCCACTTATTGATTACTCATTCCCTTTTCCACCCTTAACAATTACTCATCCCTTTTCCCCCTCTCAGTGATTACTCATCCCTTTTCCCCCTTTCAGTGATTACTCATCCCTTTCCCCCTCTCAGTGATTACTCATCCTCTTTCTCCCCTCTCAGTGATTACTCATAACTTTTCCCCCACTTAGTGATTACTCATCCTTTTTCCCTTTTTCAGTGATAACTCATCTCTTTTCCCCCTCTCAGGGACTACTCATCCCTTTTCCCCCTCCTCAGTGATTACTTATCCCTTTTTCCACTTTCAGTGATTACTCATCCCTTGTCCTCCTCTCAGTGATTACTCATCCCTTTCCCCCCTTTCAGTGATTACTCATCCCCTTTTCCCCCTCTCAGTGATTACTCATCACTTTCCCCCCACTCAGTGATTACTCATCCCTTTTCCCCCTTTCAGTGATTACTCTTCCCCTTTTTCAGTGAATACTCATCCCTTTTCCCCCTCTCAGTGACTACTCGTCCCTTTTCCCCCTTCTCAGTGATAACTCATCACTTTTCCCTCTCTGTGATAACTAATCCCCTCTAAATGATTACTCATCCCTTTTCCCCCACTCAGTGATTACTCATCCTCTTTTTTCCCTTCCCAGTCATCTCTTCATCCCCTCCTGTGAAAATTAAGCCAGGGAATTATTGCTGGAAATGGGAAATATGAAAAACAAAAGAATTTATTGGGTTTGAGTGTTTAATTACTGATCATAAAATTATTACATCGAGCTTTTATCGTCATGTCAAAAAAATTCGCAAAAAATAACCCAGAATTAAATAATATATAAACAGAATATTCATTTACATTGCACTTAATTATCATTTGGACTAATTATCGTCAAAACGGGTCGTTTATTTTAGTATAATGGTCTCTTGGCATGGATTGATGTCCAGTAAAAGCACAGACAGTATCATCATTTCAAAACCCCAAATCTACTTTGAATAAAGATGCATCAATTTAAACATAAATACTGATAATTTCAACTACTCTGATTGGTCAACTCCATAAATGAATTCTTTCTAACCAATCAGAATTGCTGAAATTATCAAGTTATGATGTACTTATTTGTCCGATGTTTTACATTAGACCAACAACGCATACATAGAAACCACGTGATAGAACTCTGATTTACAGGAAAATGAACCATTTATTTTGAAAAATCAATCAAGAATTATTATCCTTAAATATATACCTACAAGTACATCATCAGACAAAAATATCTGTACCTCTAGGGCTAATTCCACCTAACATCAGAAACGATTGCCATGTTTTGGGGTAGAGGATATGCTGATTTAGACAGTTGTTGCTATGGATGGCAAAAATAAATTGCAATTAAAACCTTGAGTTTAACCTATATTTATCACTTTTTCTACCTCCAATTAAAGTAACTTTTGAAATGTTTAGATGACATTAATTTATGTAACTGTCCTGCACCTTAATCGGTTTCTGATTTTTTTTACTGACCTAGGTTCTGCCCCTAATTGGCTGCTGAAGACAGACAACACCATACAGTGTGCAATAAGGGTAATTTTGACAAGAACCTGAGCACGTTTCTAAATAAAATAAAATATCATTCAAGTTGTACAGGACCCTGTTTCTGGTAGATTAACGTACAACCATGTGTAATGTTTAACGTAAGATTAACAATTTGATAACGTCAAAAACTTTCTAGTTTAGTCGTACCAATGATTGAGAAACGGGGTCCAGACAGAGAAATTTGATATGACTAATAAAATATGATTGATTCCACAGAAAGTTACAATTATTATTCAAATTCTTGACAAAAACTCTTACAATTTCATTTCTAAATAACAGAATTTGTCTGGTTGTTAGCTGAAATATCTCAACTGAAAATTCTCATTATGATTCAAAGATCTGATTGGATAATAATGTTGTTAATTAATTAATATGACCAATCAGATATCTTAGAATTATAAGAAGATTTTCAAATCAAGATATTTCCAGTGACAGGCCCAAGTTCTTCAAATAAGTGGTTCAGTTTTGGTTGCGGAATAATTGAATAAAATCATAGAACATTGCAATGAACATGAACTATTAAAACCCTTCCAGTATATTAGATTACACTTTTCAATTGACCAAATCTCATATTTCTAAAATATCCTTAAAGATCATGGGGTTCACTATTAATATCCTAAGTTCATGGTTCATTGTGTCTGTAAACGAATAAATGACAATTTATTCAGGATAGGTAGACAGAGAGAAGAAATGAAATGAATAAAAAAGGCCCTGAAAATAATGTTTATTTACATGCTCACTCCTTTCCAATATTTTCACAATTTTTTTTTCTTGATTTTTTTGGTATTTTTTTTTCTTTTGATCAGCTTATGTACATTATTTTGTAAGTGTGATTCAAAGCGAGGGCGTTTATTCAAAGTTTTCCCCGCTTTTTAAGTTTCAACAGCACTATATACATCTCTTTATATTATTAACAAAAATTTTAACAAAGACACAAAAAAAACGAAAACATTTTTCAACTACACATATATGCTTTTATTATAATTTTAATTTTCTTAAATCCTAATAATGACCTTGGCCTTTACCCTAACATTTCTATAACTTAGTATTTAAGTAGAAAAATTATATTAATAACTTATTTCAAAGATTATTCAATTCAGAATAGAAACAATGTATGAAAATGCACAATAAGCAAAAGTTCAAATCTGTCAGATTCACGCAAAATGGATCTTTAAAATTGTTTCTATTATCAAAATTTTACAATCAGTGAAAATAATACTTTAAAAATAATGAAATGATCTTAGAATACTGAAAATATATTTATTACTTTTTGATTTAGTTTCTTTTTATATGAAACAGAATTGTATCTTATGAGGTATTTTGAATGAAGGACAAATGCAAATTGTATTCCGAAAAGAACATTACACAAAAGCATTTTGTAAAAACAATTTATATATTTGAACAAACAGACATTGCAGTTCTCTATAATGTTTTATAATTGTGAAATTCCATAAGCACGTTTTTGATTTTAATGGTGGTAACTAAAAAGGTCTTCTAATCATGAATATGCTAAAAAAAGAAATTGTTTTATGACTTTTAGATATAGTAATGTACAAGCTTTTCTTTAAATAAATTTTTGACATACATTAACCCTAACTTAACCTATTTCAAACACTACTAAATTTCATTAATCTAAAAGTAAAACCTAGTTACTTAATTATTCCAGATGAATTCTAATCTCTGGTAAATATAAAAAAATTAATTAACCATTTATTTATCTTATAATATAAATTTTCTAGTCTTTCATTAAGAGATCATTTAAATTTATTAATATTAATTAAATGAATCGGATATATTAATGAGATATTAATTATCAACTTTAATTACAGAGAGTTAATTTATTCAAGACATTTTGTGTTAAATCTATAACTCACAAAAAGGTTACTGAGTTTGCAAATTCCGATTTGACATCTTCTAAAATGATGTGGAATGAATTCACCAGCAAGATACGGTATAAACTTACAACTACTTAAAGTTAATAACTACAAGAGGTTGTTCCGAAGATAATAATTCAGTCTTATTTTTAATTGTAAGTTATAAATCCAATACAAAATGTCAAAGACCAATCAAATTTTTAACTTTCCTAATTCTTCAGTTACTTTAAAATATTCAATAAATTAAGTAACAAAATTGTTGAATTTTTAAAAGAGAATAAAAAAACACTCAAATTGAAATCCTTCCTTCGGTTTTATTACTAAAAACAGGGGTTAAAAGTCAGGGGGAGTAATTGTTAAACAGGGTCTGACTGTAGAGTTTACGTCAAGGGTGATAATGATATTGAATAGACCAGAAAGTATTTAGACAGAAATAGCAGCATGTATTTTGGAAAAGTTTTCACAGATTCAAAATTATAATTCAAAAGACCAGTTTTTGAAAAGAACACAAATACAAAGTGAACTTTAAAGTTTGGCACTGATTATCCAGTATTTTTAAAGCAATATTCACATAGACGAGATCATACAGGTGACAAAGTCTTACAGCAGACAAAGATCAGGAAAACAGAATTTACATAAAAGATACAGAAATAAGATAGACCACATTGAAAAAAACAAAATGAAGACAGTTTTCTAAAAATACAGGAAAATAATTTTTAATTTCATTACAAATATCAAAAAGAATGGATAAATAAATACGAAACATCTCACAAATTTCATCATATGTCCATTTTTTTTCTGGAGCTAATTCAATATTTTCTGGAGCTCAACTAAGAGTCAGAAGTCAAATCTAAATTCTACGCGTTATATCTTAGTTTTCACTCAAACTGAACTGGAAATATTTTCGTCTCAGCCTTTATACCTCCGAATGATAACATTTTTTTTTGTTATTTTTTAACTTTTTACAATTTTCAAAAATATTTCTAAAAGCGACCAGAGATATAAAGGTGAGAATTTGAATTGAAAAGTTGGAATGTTGTTTTATTTTTTTGAAGCAACTGAAAATTGGATAAGGCAACATTGTGATACATAATGACACAAAATAATTTGCATTTGAGAAATATTATTTAGAATATCATCATCTGCATAATTAAATTAAATTCACAATTTTTTGCAGAAATTATGTACGATTTGATTTCAGATTTTGTGACAGTATTTGTTGTCAAGGTGACAACGGAGGATATGAGAAATTAAAATACCGGTAGATTTAAAAAGACTAGCGTGAAGATATATCATGGCCGACTTCTTAACATATGGAGTCTTTTTTTCCGCCACTTTTATACTTTTTTCTGTTTATGTACATAATTATTGGCTAGTCTTTTAAAACAAATTAACATAACTTAGTAACAATTAACAGTTTACCACGATCGTGGCAAAAACTAAATAAAATCCAAATACACCACATCCAAATTGTTGTGGCAAAAATTCTCTCGAAGGACGTTCGTAGCCTAAAAACAGCCGTAAATCCAGCATCCTTACTCTGATTGGCTAACAGCCACAACACAGACAGGCTACAATCCAAATCCAAACACTGCCATTGGTTAATTTTGACTTCAGCATCAATCCACGATTTGGAACGATGCCAATTTGAAGTCGTCACACATACGCAGCACATGCACCAATATTGAATATCTTACACCAATGAAAACACACGAAATTTGATGACATCATCACCTATAATTAGCACCTGGAAGATTTTCTTTTCTGATGAATTTGGGTCGTCGTTTACCGCTGGTACGATTAAAGACTTTGTTGTTGGGATGGACGTGAGAATTGTGATTATGTTGACTGCGGTAAACTTTACTTTGGTTGGTTGAAGATGTGTGATGATTGTGCAAGGGTCTGCTATCGTGAGAATGATAGTGATTTGAGTCTGCCGTGGACGAAGTTCGGTCCGAAGAATAATAACTACTAGCACTATTGACTGATGATGAACGTCCGTGAGCTATCGAACGATTGGACGATACGCTACTCGTACTGGTGTCTCTAGATTTCGAGGAGCTGGCCATGTGATCTCTATTGCGTGTGAATTCTCGTACTGGTACGGAGCTAGCTCTATTTTTAGGTGTGGCTTTAGGAACAGCCGAGACATCATTTAAACTACTCGTATCAGAATCCTAAAAATAAAACGCATATATTAAATAAACATGAAATTTTTTAACCAATTGATCTTCTTAGACCAATCAAGCAAAATAAATTTAATATCTTACTGTTTTACACACTCAGAACTAGCCTATTTAGTGCAAATTCTGTAACTTACCAAAGTTATCAGTCCTTTAACCAACCTTCCTTGGGTAAAAAACAGGTAAAAAAAAATTGAAAATATGCGAATGCAGCCTACTGTTATGAACATTTCTCCCATTGTCTGGATGCTAATTAATATTACAAAACAGGGTCAGTTTTAAAAGGTTTTCCCCAAAATTAAAACAGGTAGTCTTTTTAGAAGTGTTTAGCAGGGTTTCTACCCAGAAGACATAAAACCAGACTTACAGTGTCAGGACCAGAACCATTATTGGAACTAGCAGATGATTTATAACCAGAACTGTTTCCACACGAATCAGAATTCTCGCTATCTTGATCAGGTGACGTCCCCGTACCCACATCACGCTGGTTTCTGGATGGAGGCGGATTGTGGTTCATATTAGATCTGAAATAGTAAGATATTATAACTAAACATTTTTATTTTTGATTCCAAATTGACAACCAATCTTGTAGGGCCTTGATTGTTGTCAGTTCTTAATACAAGTATTATTCAGTCATCTCTGTCTAAGGGGACATATATTTGTCTCATCCTAACAAGTAGAAGCTTTTGACAAAATAGGTAGAAAAATAAATATAAACTTCATCTGTCAGAGTCGAAGACTGGATCCTTTGGTTGACCCAGCTAAGCCACCCCACACCCTGGCAAATACAATACTCATAACAGCAGTCAATCCTAGACCAACGTTTTATACAGTCCCAAGGGCTAATCCAGCTTGCCAAAACCCATAACATCAGTTACTACGAGAAAACTTACTCTAAATGTACTTGATGGGATTTTTTATCATTCGGGGTAACAATACTGGCGTAAGTTGGTACCGTTGGTCTGACAACAGTATTAGTAGTTTTCTCTATCGTTGCTATGGTGTTATCATTTTTCTCTTCATTCGAACTTTCGTCCGAGTCAGTCGAGTCTGTGTTTTTACATCGGTATTTCTGACAGATGATATCTCGATATTCCACAACTTCATTTGTTACTCGAATAATTCGACTCAACACACTGAAATATAGACAAATAGGATTAGATTCAGTCAGACAGTGAAATTTTACAATGGTCAAGAAAAGCAAAGAAATGGTTTAATTTTCAGAAAGGGTTTCTAACACTGGCTCTTACTGATGATGTTTTCAAGCAGTCTCAAATAGCAAACTAACTTTGTTGTTCAGATATTCATATATTATGATTTGTTTTTGTGTTGGCACTTAGTCATGTAGAGGCTTTTGCTCCGTGCTCCAAGACAATTTGGTCTTAAAAATGTTTTTAATCTTTTCAGTTCATGACAAACCAAATCTATCTATATCAGATGTATATAAAAATACATTGTGCCTACCTTCCTTTCATAAGACACTGATTTTGTGGAGCTACAGCGTATTGTAAAATTGTAAAGGCGTATTCAAACGCGTGTCGAACTTGCATAGCGCCATACGAACTACGTCCAATATCATTTTCTGAAAAAATACAAATAACATTTAACAGATTGATCAAATAGAGCCATCAGGAAATAAGTCTATAGCCCATAATGACAAAGTGGACGACCAATGCCATACAGTATGCAATGAGGGCATTTTACTGAGAGTAATGGTGACACCTTTTCAATCAGGCATCAATTTTCATTAGGCTGCCAATTCATCTTTTTTCAATACAAAATCCTACTCACTTGGCATAAGGGGGTCTTCAATACACAATAACGAAGGACGGTAGCCACTCTCCATGTTTTTAGCGATTTCTTCTTTCGGTAGATACGCTCCACCCCCTTTAATCCTGATAGCCGTTTTCCAATAGTTGAAATTTCTACCGAACAATTCGAAGAATTCAATCAGTAAAACACCAAGATTGGCTTCGGGAGATCTGGCATCAATTCTTGGATGGAGCTGAAAATAAAATGAAAACAATTCTAGTTTAAATTTACAAAAAACCTTATCACAATTATCATCAACATTGATATCGAACTGTCACAATAAATTTTATTCTTTGTTTAACATTCAGAGTGGCAGCCCAAATATGTTTACCATTTTCTCTTTTCGGAAACAAAGCACCAATGTTTCAGTATCACATGACACCTACACACTCATCAAGGCCTTTGCAATACTTAGAAGTAATGTGCCTGAAGAACCTATTAAACTACACTGTGTGTCAAGACGAAAGGGGAGGGAATGTAGAGGGAATGTGGAGGGAATGTAGAGGGAATGTGGAGGGAATGTGGAGGGAGGGAGTAACGTACCTGTAGAAAGTTGATACACATCAATATTAAACTGTAGGAACTAATACCGCCAGTAAAAACCTCGTTTAAATCACGTTGTAAGAGAAAATGTTTTAATACCAACACTAGGTATTTCAAATTGGGGAATTCTTCCATATATTCCTAGAAAAAACACAAAATATTTCAACATTACTATTTCAATGGGATAATCTGGCAAGCCTGCAGTAAAATGAAATGTGACTTTTAGTTCCTATCCTATCTGGGAGATGACCTACAAAGTCTGTAGTAAAAGGCTAGAACACCATCCTTAATGGCAGAATGAATAAAGACACAATCAGATATCTGCATATATATTTCTTGATACAAAATCATTTAATGTTGAAAATGTACAGTACTATTCATGATCAGAAGTGTTCAAAAGAAGTCCATAAACATACTAAAAATTTTGAAATGGTGTAAGCCTTTCATAGACTGTGTTATAATTTATCACACATGATAGAGTTGCAGTTCTTTCGCAATTAAATCAGACCTGAACTCTGAGAATGAGTATACTTACAGTGATTAAACCAGCACTTTTAACACCACTCATCATATTAAAACTAATATCCACCTGTACATCAGTTTCTTTATCAGTTAATTTTACAATTGGGACCTAAAATACAACAGTTTACTAATGAAAGACATGTATAATACCCAATAGACAGTTTCCAGTGATATTTGAACGGCGTTGAATACTACGAAAGGAAACAAGGTTGAAAAATTGGAATGTTCCATCAAATGCTGTAGGAAAATCTGTAACTCAAGGTTAGTGCTATTATATAATATAAAATAATTTGGGAACTCATTTAAGAATAATTCTGTCCACATGCGAGAAAATTTAAATTACTTACGGATGCTTTATCAAGAACTTTGATATCTTCTGGGTAGGCGATTTCTCGTTTCCGTATTTCATCTCGTAACGACCACAACGGTAGAGTTTTCCATTTACCAAACACCACAAGGTCAATATCACTATAATATAATATCATACTATGTAATACAATGTATCATAATAGATCTTAGCTTATTGTTTACTGTTGAGACATCAAGGGCAGGTGCTATTGCTAATTACCACACTAAACAAGGTTTATAACAAAAACACAAGACAATATTATGGAATATATGTGCTCCTCGCTTCTGTATGTCGTTCAAATCTTATAAACAAGGTTTAATAATGAATTCCAACAATCTGGGGATATTGATTTAAATGTAGTGCCAGTCAGGTCTGAATAGAGCTATGAAATTCTCATCACAAAAGCTATTATAAATGGAGGTTATCTTTTCAAAATAACATTAACGTAAGTATATGTATTTGTGACTAATCACAAAAGCTGGCAAAAATGGCTGGCAGACTGACAATATTGAATCATTTGGCCATTGAAAACAGGATGTAGATCACACTATATAATTTTTAGATCCTATATTTCTCGTACTATCTGTCAACAACACAGGTGAAAAACCTAAGATCCCAGGGCAACAATACTCAACCTTGACTAATCTTACAATTTTCTTCAGAAAAGCTTTCCAAGTAAAGAATTTTAAGAGTTATCATAATTAACTTCCAATTGGCTGAACCTGCTACAGATTCTCTCATTAATGTTCATATTCAATTAGCATATGCAAATTGGATGCAAATGAGGTGAGTGACCTAATCATTTACACTTGTAAAAATGACCAATTTTGCCATATTATTGACATTGACATTTCTCAAGAACAATGATCTGTCAATAATGTCAGTTAAAAACCAACTGGCGTTTTCACAAGATAAAGTGAGAAATTGAATAGATCAGTCGGTACTTACCTTGTAGGTAAATAGAGACCCGTTCGGAAACTTCCAAATATTTCCATCTGAAAAAAAAAGACGACAGATTATAGTTCTAGTTTTTCACTTCATAGCAACTAATTGCTTAAATGTGTACTTTGAAATTCAGGAATTATCAAAACCCACCTTAACAGCCAAAAAAGAAAACCAAACTTAAAATATCAAAATCCAATGGATCTTGACAAGTCCTTTAATGTTCACTGTCATCATTTTGCGAGTAACAGCAGTTAATTTGATTTTTTTTTCAGTTATCGACAAACCATATTTCCATTTAAGCGATATTTGGAGATGATTAATTCCTAATGACTCCATTTTACCAGCTGGTACATAGAAACATTAATAATGGTCAAATCTTCTCAAAAAATAAAATTAAAATTAGAATAAATAAACCAAGTTCTAACAATACAAACCGCCAAACGAAAACCGAAATCCAAACAACATATTGACGAAATATTGGTAGCAACTAATGAACTTTTCACATGAGGAAGTGAACAAACATAATTAAAATTTACAAACCTTTGCATCGGGCCAGAGATCTTCCATGACTTGTCGAATTCTAGAAACAACTTCATTTCTCATTTGTCGTTCCTCTTCACGAGGTGACATGTAACCAAAAAAATCTTTAATTTCATCATGAAGTCTGAAAAATATAGAAATTTCAAAAATATTTATTATCAACTTCTAGTATTTTATATGACTAGAACACTAATCACAACACTAGTTTATCTTTCAAAAATACAATAATACAATACAACTCCAAGCTATGGTTCTTTAAGATTGTAAAGTATTCTGATAAAAAAATTTGTCATGATAATTGGGGGGTTTTGAGACGTAGGCCAGGAAATTAGAATGTGCAATAAAAGTGGGCCTGATATACACATGTACGAAAAAAATCCCTATACTATCTGTTAAAGTGAGAGACAGGTTATGAAAACTACTGAAGCCTCTATATATAGTTATCTCTATATCATAGTACAGTATAGAATTATATAGGTAAGAGAATGAGTAATATAGACAATAGTATAAGATATAGAAAGTAATGACATCTGGTTCTATTACCATCACTATTATCATAGTGGTTGGCTACTGGCTAGGTATGAAGCATATTGGATATCATTACTATGTCCATACTATTAAGTCTATTAAAGATTATAAATCCTTCACTTCCAATAGACAAGAAAGTGGACAGCTAGAAACATATCATTGGAGATCGTAAATCATATACCAAAAGTCAGTATAGCCCAAACCCTGTGTTTCCAAAAGTAGTCTACTTAAGAAAAAATCTACAGTATCATTACACAGACAATTTGATAAGTGTTGTACTGACAAAGATAACACAATATTTTAACCAACTGTAGGTCTATTAGTACTGTTGAAACTGTTGAGAACTTGGCAAGTGTTTATATAAACTAGTGTTTGATACAGGAGATATAAATTATGATATAGTTATATACCAATAGACATCATAATAACTCTAGTGATACATTGTTATACTTAGTGTCTTATTCTAATAGTCTAATTGCTGGTGAAATAAGAAGTTTGACATATTCTGCAATATGCAATGAGGGACACTTTCAAATGAATTGGCTTATTGGGGGCTTGGATTGACTAGACAGTGATTGATATAATGGAATTCAGCAACATTAAATATTTTCAAGAGTACAATTATTTTAAAACAAACTCTTAAGGCGACAAAAACAATAACCTGTATGAAAATAACATCCCCATTATCAGTTTGAAATTATGTGTTAAAAAAACTACCTTAAAACTTATATGTTAAGACATTTAACCACAGTTGACAGTCAATTGAGGCCCAGGAACATGGATAATTTTTAACTTGTAAACAATTTATGTTTGTTACAAGATTTTTCTAGAATTTTTCAGTTTGATGTTGGTGGTTATCGAGGCGTGAAGTTGATCTGAATTTCGTATTAAACAATGAATCATTGAAACTAAAAGTGAAAATAAAAAATGACCAAATAATAAATGGATTAAAAAGAAACCGAAGTGAAATTCTGATCAATATGAGAGAGATTAAGGCAGGTCAAGGTTGCCTAAGTGATAAAAAAACATTATTTATCATTGATTAAAACATACCAGTTCTTTCTCTACACAAACAGATTCATATTGCTTTCGTCCTTCAAAATACTACAATTTCAGACATGCATGCCAAGTATTTTCTTTTACAATTTTTTTCAAACAATTCTTGTGCAAAAGACTAAAATATTTAGGTTCATTAGAAGATTTTTTTTCCAGAGGTTGCATTAACAATGCCCCGGTTCAATCTAAATCAAGATACACAATTCTGATGACACAGTCAGTGCTTTTGCAAGGTTGATATTGGCTTTAAACGAAAATCACCCCCCTCCACCCCATCACCTATAACAGACTGTTGTTATCAGGAGTTGAGAATATTTAAACCCATTAACATCTTAAACCATCACCGTTCCTCCCCACCCTTTCATCTCCCCACCCTCAAACTTTAGGGGTACCGTATGAACTATAATTAATGTTCACCATGGCATTCACTGTAGAAACCCCCTCCACCATTTCACCATGTTAACTATACCCCTCACTTCCCCCAGTCTGTTCCCTACCCCCAATACAACATCATATACATCTCTCAAAGTTCAGCCTATTAAGCCTACTACAACACTGAACGTACAGATACCCCTCCCCCAAATACTGTACAATACCAATACACCCCCCCCCCTTCCCCAAATACTGTACAATACCAATACAACCCCCCTCCCCCTACCCCTCAAACAAACACTTCTCTCATAGTTCAATGACAGGTATTCAACCTATTTAGAAGTACAATAGCTTGAGTGTAGAGATAAATGTCAGGTCTAGTAACAGCTATATTAATATACTCTACTATACATTCTGATATACACATAGTGTTACAGTGAGGGGGCGGGTGCACATTCTTTACCTACACATATAGCCACTAATATAGGTCAGTCTACAGCAAGGCAGGGCTGTGGATTAGTTCTTCTAGACAGTCATGTCTGATCTAAACTTCAAAATGTATGAATATGATAGTTGGACATTTTTAACATAATGAGAAATTTTTATATGAATTTAATTCTTACCAGTCATGTCCGTTTGAAACTTTAAAATATAAAAGTTCTGATTTCTTTAATAAGTGAATTTTTTAAATATCACTGAGCAAATTGCCAAAAGTCTAAAAGCTTTGACTGTGACAAGATTTTTCAATCACCAGCCCAAGTCAATGACCTACAGGTCATCCACCAAATAAATCTTATCAAGTGGTCAGATTGAATTATTGTCTAACCTGAGGAAGCTGTTAAACTTTTATATCTGTGATTATTATCCTACTATTTATTAGTAGGTCTACCTATTTTGAGAATCATGATAAGCTCCCAATTGATTTGATATAAGGGCCATTATAAGATTTTTATTAACTCTCTGATTTGTCTGAAGGACAGGACTGCATTTTTCAGATCTTGAGTTTATTAGTTCAGTTTGGATAAACTGGACCTCGTTCCTCAAAAAGTTTACATTTAGAAAAGTCAAAACTTGTGACAAATTTGTAAGATTTTTCCTTAGAAGGACCCTGGGTTTGAATTTTCCCTTTTGAAATTTTAAAGCAACTCTCAGATGTTAAGCTTCTTAAGCCTGAAAATATCCAGGTAACAGATAACATCGTTGGCAGGTATCTCTACTCTTACCTATTATTATATATTAACTGTTATATCTACATGTAGTTTTATCTCTATCATATTACATACTGTAGGTAGATACGTAGACCAGGTGGATATTCAATGACATTGTTTTTTTATAAATGAAGTAAACAAGTTTGTAATTAACAACTGTAGTGATTGTGACAATTGTTACGTTCTCTGATTTTCATTACATAAATCAATACCTAGAAAATTAATTTAAATTTATTCATACTGAATATTTCTCAATCATGAATAATTCTGTGTAAGCTTACATCATAAAGTTTTAAAATTACGATTATATTTAGATATACTCCTAAAATTAAGATTGGTTAATATTATCACTTTAATAACAACAACATGAGAGTTCTTCATATTGTCAGAATGAATATTTAAGACTCTACGCTGTTTCTGACACATCTTAATTACAAACTACATTCACTCTTGTAGGCCTACATGCCGAGTGTAGTCTATAAGATATATAGAATATTCAGAGCGAATTCTCAAATGTATTCAACAAGTTCAAGTTCCCTTGACTCGGTTCCCAATTCAAAATAATGAAACTCTTAGTCTTATCTTAAGAGCTATTTTGTATCAGGATTTTAATCAAAAGCACATGTTGAAAGCATAAGATGCAAACCGATCAAAATAGCTGTTAATATAATTGAAATATAATCATAAACCATCCCTTTAATTCTATATTTAAAGTCAAGGTAACTGTACCTATAATTTGTATAATAAATCAACTGCCCCTAGGGTAGTGTATATGATATTTTAAATTTAGTATTATAGTGAAATATTTAAAACTCTCCAGGGCGTGATTAATAAATCCCAGTCATTGACATTTGCCTGTCAATCACAACACCTACAACTGTCACTATTCACTACAAATATTCAACACTTTCTAGAACACCTGATACCAGTCTTTATCAACTCAACATCCTGTCACAGAGTCCAACAAACTAACTCACTCATTATTCGGTATTATTCTTTAACACATGTCCAGTAAATGAATTCATGAAATCATTGCGTGAAATACATGTAGATTATGGAAAGAGTAGAAAAAAAGAAGAGAACGCACAAAGTACAGTACTTCTGCAAACAAGATTTGCTTTTAATTTATATAACTATTTCAATGATTGCAATCTCTCTAGTCACATTGTTACAAGTCATCCCCCCTCCCCTTCTACATATCTAAAGTCAAGAAACAAGGTTTATGTTTGATGTGGCCCCAAACTCCTACAAGTCCAGAAACAAGGTTAATATTATGAAGTGGCCTATGATAGAAGTTGTCATAATTTAGTTTGATCATCTATCATCACTATAAACTAACAGGACATTAACAATTGACTATACAACATAACTCATAGTCTAACTTGACCCCCAGCTTGACCTCTATAGATCTATCTGACTAATAGACTGACTGTAATAATATATACATACATAGATATTGTTATAATAATCTGGTTGAAGAGAACTACTTATATACTATTAATATTTAAAGGAACTTAGTTTATCAGTGACAGAAGTCATACTATGCTTTTTATATACCAGGGCAACCATGTACATCCCCTTTAAAGGGAGAGGTTTGCCATTTTTGAGGATTGATTTGGGTCATAAACCAATGTATAGTCTTCAGAAGTACCGGTACTTATGCACTCATATGGATTTGAAGGCTCAAATTTGATGATGAACTGTGCACACTAAGCTAAAATAATGTTCGTTTCTGAGACTAAGGTATGCTAGATAAATTTGATGTCCAACTTGTCCCTTTAAGATCTCAATTGGTAGTTTACAACAAAAACTTGCTGCAAATTTAAGCCATGTACTGCCAAAGCAATTCCAAACAATTGTATGTTTCTAAAAATTAAACAAGTCTACTTATTATAAATTTTTGTGGCTCCTGAAAAATAAATATCACAATCACTGATACAGGCACGTTGTAGCTATCTTCAGACATGACTGGCAAATAGAACCAAATCAACAGTCCTGCTTACTTATCTAATCTTAGGTCATAACATAGTTGTCTAAGTTGTCAAGGGGATAAAATATGTGTCAAAGAATTCAGAGATAATCCTGTTTAATCCCTACCTGAGATTTTTACCAGAAATCACCTGACACCTGATTGATCTTGTGATTGATTATTGATCTGATTTAAAACAATGGCTAATATTTTAACACCAATGACCAGTCACTGACCAGTCAGAGTCTAGACATAAAATTCATGTAAGTTTTAAAACAAAAAAGGCCAATAAAGAATGCTTCTGCCCATAAGATGTATGTTAAACTTTGGGAGATTAATCAATATTTGCAAGGAAAACAACTTGGGTTTTGTGAGTCCTTCTTATTAACTAGTCCTTCACCAATCATCTTGGCATCAGTAATAATCTTTTCAACATAGTTGAAAACCAGGCCCCGTATTCTCAAACGATCTTAGCGCTAGGATGTCCCAGGTTCTTATCTTCTAACATTGATTCTAGGACATCCTAGCGCTAAGGTTCGAGAATACAGGGCCTGGTCATGGTCAAACATCTTGGTATAGAGATCTTTCTCATATTATTATGATAGATATTCACAGATAAGGTGGAATTTGTCAACAGGAGTGTCTTCCTTTCAAATTCAACTTTTTTCAAACATAGAAAGTATCCATTGGTCAGAAATTTCAAGGTCAGTGTAAGGTCAAAAGGCAAATCAGACTTGTGTATTTTTTTACCAGGTGACATGTCTAGTACACAGCTGGTAAAGAGAATATAAACTATTTATTTTATAGGTCTACACTGGCTTACTGGATCATTATTTTCGTATCATATATTTTTATTATCCCTAGTGCTGTGCAACATAACCTGTTTTAAAAGAAGTTGTTTCATGTTACACTTACAGAACACCAGGAGAAAACCTGAGAACTTTTATGACCAGTAGTTACCATACGACACTTCACTGATAGTTGATAAAGTGGTGACAGATCATCACTTCTACAATGACAGAAAGTGAGTGGCGAGTTTAGGTAGGTATAAGCTTGTAAAAGAAACAAGACATTGTGTTGTATTCGCCGATAATCAAAGATTCACAACCCGCAACTTGTGATCTACATCTACTTATAAACAATTGCATCCAATTCAAAACATAAGCTATCACACAAGCGGACCACTGTGTTGTTAGTAGGCCTGAGTAAAGAATAATACCTGGTATGACTATATTGTTAGTAAGAGTAGAATGCTGTCAAGAATCTAGTTTATCTGATCATTATCTTAGTTTTCTCAACCAATCAACACTAGCATCTGATACCTTGGCTTTAATATGCCCTACTATTCAAGTCAGTTGAATTCATAGATTTTAACTCTCAAATTCACTGCTCCTATCAAGTTTTCTTCATCTATTCTTAGACTTTAGTTCAGATAAGCTTATTGAAATATTACCCCCTATTGTCATGGAAACCAGCTGTTCTGATGCCTATTTTGAATATGAAATAACATGTACCACAGAAATGAATTCTTGTCAATGAAAGTTGAATGCTGTTTCCTGTATATTTAAATCTTAGAAATTATTACTTAGTAAAACATAAGATATCAGTTTTCAAATCTTAAATGCAATAGGGCATATTCCACTAACCCAGATATCTTGTTTACATCTTTTTATCTCTTTGATCCAATCAGCAAGCTAGATACTGCCAAACAAAACAATATTAACCAATAGAATTACAGAATACTCATTCCTTTCATGGTTCAGTTCTTACTCAATGATGTGGAAAGACATGTACACACAATGCATTATTGAAAGCCCCATGCCCTTAACATGGATAATAAAATTTTAACTGTCAAATTTTTAAAGGGCTTCTTTGATCTTGTATTCAAAGTGGTTCATTTTTTACTCATAAATATTCAATAATATTCAGTCTAGTCATAAAAAACTCTGTAATATTTATCATAAAATATACACCTCTTTATAAAAATCATTAAATTTCACTTAATAATCATTCAAGTCAAAATAATTTGTTTCATTTATTTTCAGAGGGCTGCTTAGCTCATTCTCGATACAAACTATCAAAAAATCAAGAGAATTATAACTATCATTACATCTAATGTGTAATTTGTGTTGAAACGTAATTTGTGTTAAAACATAATTTGTGTTGAAACGTTGTAATTTGTATTGAAACGTTAACATGTTTAGAAATCTTAATAAAGATATTATTCCATAATATTGTCTTGTGCTTATGATTTAACCAAGAAGTCATTTGAATATTTTCGTAAAATAGTAATTATGTAATCTTGGCATGCGTCATTCGTCAACTGTTAAGAATTTGTTTTATTCAAAGCTATTAATTTTATGTGTTTAATTTACAATTGAATAGATATGAAATCAAAACTAAAAGTAGAAATTCTGAGTAACTTCACTTCTAGGAATTAATCAATAGACATGTCAAGTTGGTATGTCAATCACAATGAACACCTGAGATAAGAATTTACTTTGATTTACCTTCGTTAATCACCATGGATTACCTTGTTTACCTGACGCTCTGTTACTATAAATAACTCAATTCTAATCAAACTTTCGTCAAGTGAATACTGAATGAGTCATTTTTTACTATTTGAATAAACTCAATTAAAATTCATATAAAAATTCTACGCAATTTAAGGGTGAAGTAAGTTTAAAGTGTGTGACAAATAGCAAAATGGCTACGGTAGCTGTAGTAGATGTACTGAATAAAATTTCACTGCACTTAGATTTGAATAATACTCATTCCACAATCTTACGTACGTTGTCAAAATTATTCCAATCCAAGTATGTTGTGAAATATTTTAAAGGAATGTAGAGGGTTTCTAGTCTATTGAAGTTTGAGAATTTGAGACACCTGTAGCTTCTATCTACAATTCGCCAAGAAATCTGGGTACTCACTTCATGTACAAGGCCAAGATGTAGAAATTTCTAACTAAGCTAAACAATGCAGTGATCATGTTGGTTAGCTTACAAATCCAGTAGAGCGATTTTTAACTTTTCTCAAATCTTTACTTTTTTTAGGTCAGAGATACACAGTGTGTATTTGTATAAGAACTTTCAACCCCCCTTAAAAAATTGAGCTGATAACAACTAAAGAGCAAACCATTACCCAACAACTGGTCATTTTACAGGATTTAATTCTTTTCGATCTTTTTAACATGAAAATTAGATTAAATTCTAAATGTATCGACAGACATTTTGATGAAGCGATAGGCCAATACAATGTCAAATTAGCAGTGAGCAGAACCAATTTAATTTTTCATAGCCTACATTACATAGGGTAAGCTTATAGAAAAGCTACATGAAAAAGTCCCAAAAAGTTGAGCTCATAACTGTGTTAGAAAGCACAATCAAAAGTCTAAGAAATGTACAATTTGAGAAATTATGAATTTTTTTATAAAAATTAGTCTTCATTGTGCTATTTGAAATGAATAATTCAGTTTCACAGTCAAAACATGAATTTGTTTTGTCATAAAAATTTTCAAGTTAGGAAGTCTTGCTTATGAAACCATTTAATACCGGAAGTACAATATTATTACCTCCCCTTTCATGGAGATTCCAAAAACCTTGAAATTCTGAACACAATTTACAAAATATTTATATGTAATCCGATTCAATTTTTTCGATACAAATATAAAATGTTTACTAAAGAAAAGAAAATCAAAAACCCCATAAAGATAGCCCCAACAAAACCCGAGAATTTTGATCTAGAAAATTCGAGACGAGGGTCGACATCAAACCATGTCGGCTTCCGATTTCCATCACTGACTAAAAATGGAAGTGTTGTGCAATCGTAGGCGGCTTGTTCTTCAATGAAATAACCTAAATTCATATCAGAATTTTACAAAATTAAAACACAACATACAAAACTAACCAAACTCAAAGATAGAAACTTTATAACTTACCCTGAAAGATCGGGTCTGTAAGTTTTTCCTTTCACAAGCCAAGGTGTGAGACCGCCATGTTCCCGAAGTAAATGTTTATCAGCAGAGTGATTTAAACCATAAGTACTGGCCCGATTTTCACGTTTCCTTTTCTGTGGTGCGTAATGATTGTTGGAATTATGATATCCATTGTTTCTGTTGTGGTTATAATGTCGATAATTGTCATTAAAAGGTAGAAAATCCCTGTTGTGGTCCGAATTGTTCAGATACATTTTATCCACGCCTAGTTGGGCTTCCCAGTTTCTCGCCCAGAATTCATGTGCGGGTCCCAGCTGTTCAGGAGTGAACCAGGCGATTTTTGGATCCATCCAAAACGGCTAGGAGCTGCTTCAAATGACAGTAATAAACTGTCCCCTAGTCCCACACTAATTCGTTCACTGACCTTCGGGTGTTGAGGGGATGAAATACACAGACTTTTTCAAATACACTGTAAACGAAGGTAAACTTGACGCATGCGTATTGACCTATAATATTTGACATTTCAGTGCCCTGTACTCTGGATAATAAATGGTTCATATACCACAGCTTATATCTCAATATTGGACCGACCTAGTATGGACTACATGCTTATAAATCTCAACTTAGCTACCTTTTAGAGTAAATTTAATCAAACAATTAACAAAATCACCACTTTAAAAAGATAATGTTGTTTTAGTTGGAAAAACAAGAATGAAGTGTTTTGATCAAATCTCCAGCCCTTGGTAAAAAGTTAATGACCCCTCAGTTTGCCCGAGTAGATTTTATTTCACACTTTGACAGTTTCAAACTTGGTTACCTGTTAAATTTATTAACTTAACTCAGAGATTATACTAGGCCTGATAAACAATCTTTAAAGGGTTGGACATGCCTATTTCAGTAGGCCTGCCAAGTAGGAAAATGCTGGGCACAACCACGGGTAATATTTCTGTAGTAAGAATGGTTTCCCCACAAATTCATTTCAAAACATCCATTAAATTCAAATCTATCTTTTAAGCACTTATATTTATATATTTTTATAAATTTTTGGGAAACTAAAAAACAGCTATAATGCATAAGTAAAGTAAAATGTGTTTGTTTATTCAAATATCTAATTATATTAGATAATTCATATCCCAAAATAATTTTGCGTAAGTTTACAATTAATTTATATCTTAATAATCAATTGATTTGTAATTTTTGTCATCTTGATTGTAAAATTTTTTACATGTATTGAAAGAGATAGTAACAATTTTGGCAACATGGCGTAAAAATTTGCCACAAGGGAAAAAACAATTAATAGATTTGTTAATGAGATAATATAATTAATTAGTCAAGAAGATAAGGTGCTAATAACAATTAGTGATAATTAGATTACAAGTCTGTTATCTTCTACAGTAGCTGTTTCTAAAATTAGCCTGACCTTGGCCAGTGCTTCTGTGCAAAACACAGCCAATGAGTTATGAGTTGCTTTCATGAGTTACATTCCTGTTGACTTTTCAAATCAATGTACAGATTATTAAAAGTAAAATGATTTGACTTTAGTGGTAAGTCAATAGATATCAATGTTCAAAAATGAATTCTCCAAAATTCCCTCAAGCTGAGGTGAAGTTGATTAGTTAGATATTTAAATGACCTAGAACATGAATTGTATAACAATTTTTTCAGATCGTAGATAGTATTTGGAGTCAGCCAGGGAAAACACATTAAATAAAACATCTAAGACTGAGTTTTAATTAGTTGAAGAAAGCATTGGCTGAGGTCAGGTATTGTAATAAAAGATTATACATGCAGTATGATTAGTAATAAACAGAACCAAATGTTAATCTGACCATAACTTACTGGCTAACAAATCCTCTGGCCTCCTGCCAACCAACTGTATAACAACTAGTGGTCATCCACTATTATCAGGTAGCCCAGAAAAAAACAATAACTGATGTCAGAGTGCGTGTGTGTATCTTTTTAATTAAATTCATACTAACACGCCCTAATACTAACGTCTAATTTTCACGTAAATTAATAAGTTTATCTATTGCTCTGTGACCTAAGCCAGTGCTTTCATTGAGCACTCTTTACTTTACCAGCTGATAGAGCTCAATTTCAGCTGTCTGTAGCCTATAGCAGTCAAAATATTAATTTACTAGCTGATAAAGCTAAATTTCAGCTGTCTGTAGCCTATAGCAGTCCAAATATTAATTTACCAGCTGATAAAGCTCAATTTCAGCTGTCTGTAACCTATAGCAGTCTAAATATTAACTTTACCAGCTGATAGAGCTCAATTTCAACTATCTGTATAGTCATCTATATATTTACTTTACCAGCTGATAGAGCTCAATTTCAACTATCTCTATAGTCATCTAAATATTTACTTTACCAGCTGATAGAGCTCAATTTCAACTATCTGTATAGTCATCTAAATATTTACTTTACCAGCTGATAGATCTCAATTTCAGCTGTCTGTATAGTCATTTAAGTATTAACTTTACCAGCTGATAGAGCTTAATTTCAACTATCTGTATAGTCATCTAAATATTTACTTTACCGGCTGATAGAGCTCAATTTCAACTATCTGTATAGTCTTCTAAATATTTACTTTACCAGCTGATAGAGCTCAATTTCAACTATCTATAAAGTCATCTAAATATTTGCTTTACCAGCCGATTGAGCTCCCAGTTGATAAAGCTCAAATTCAGCTATCTGTATTGTCGTCCAAATATGTACCTTAACAGCTGACGAAGTAACATTATAATTCTTCCTCAAACTAGGCTATAACTTTAACCATATGAAATGACAGAAGAGAGCTAACTAAGAATAAATATTTCTGACATTGATTGACATTCATGAGTCTATGTCTTAGAGTTTTTGTAATACTTGAAGAAACTCAGGTCCTTTAAAAATGCTAAGATCTTTATGCACCAAAATCTAAAAGACAGAACGTAAATAAAATAAATGGCCATAGAATGTCTAGAATCCACGCTGTTCTTATATTCTTAGTATATTAAAAAATTCATTAACTTGTCTCAAAGTGGTCAAATTTCCAATATGTTTTCAAGCCCTTTCAATTCGTTCCTTTTCACATCAGTTAGGAATAATACTGAACGTAAAGTGCAATATCCTCTGGTGCGAATAAATAGATATTACCATCAGTTATTAAGCATAAAACTTGACCTTTTTAAATAACAGTATTTAAGGTGAAGGACACACTTTTCTGCTTGTTTGGGCTTATGAAATGAAATGGAGTTTTACATCTTACTTTTCTTTGTCTAATTGGTCTAATGAAATGAAAATGAAGTTTGTTTGCCTACTTTTCCGTAAACCATGCAGTGTGCAATGAGGGAAATTTTCCAGGACATCAGGTAAAGAATTAGTGACTCCATTTAAATTCCTATTGTCATGTTCAAGTTCACAGCCTCATCGTAATAGACAGAAAAAAGTCTGAGACAAGCTAACTAGATATAAATAAATGTAAGAAATTTGTTTTGATGGACATTTATTGCTCTCTGGGTGACACTTCCTGAAATCTTAAGATTTTATGCAATTTTGAAAAATCTGTGACGCCTGCTAACTTGCATGAATTATGTAATACCTATGTTGAAGAAATCATAAGCTAATTTGTTAGTTAAAGAGATTGTAAAGAGATTTTCTAAATTTTGTTATGTGTATCAGAGACACTAACAGCATCAATTAGCACCATTCCAATTTTCAATCAGACGTTTGTAGTTCCTGCAATTCCACAAAAACTTAAATATATCATATCATACTTTGATTTTGTCTTTTAAAAAAATTAACACAAAAATCAGCTAAAATATAGCGTATTTTACTTTTTCCCCAAAACCATTATAAAAAATCGTGGCCTGACTAAATGGCGTAACAAACGACTAACAATAATCATATATAACAATATAATATATTATAATATACACTTATACTTATAATCTGATAATCTTAGCTAAATTATTTCTGGTAATCTCATTGGTTAATTCTCTTTCAGTAATAAGATTGATCAATCAGATTCAATCAGGATTACCTCAAGTTATGACAGCGCGATTATCAAAAAATTAATCTTATAATATCAGATTTATTGATTGATTTTTTCTTGACGATCCAATTTGATTAAATTAAACACAGCTAGCATGCTGGGTTAAGTTAACATAAATTTTATCATTGAAGAATTGAGTGCTCGATTCTCAATCCGCAATTCAGATTTTGAAAAAAAAATTATTTTTTACCAAGTTACGATTTCTAAAATAAGGCTTTAGATATCTTGACTTGACCAGTGCCTTTATAGGAGTTCACTAAACTTCTTCACTTTTAATACTATGAAAACAAATCTTTAACAAGTTCTTTCTTGTTGACCTTTCCCATAGCATTTCTAGGCATGACCTCCACACATAATACAACTTTAGGGATCTGATAAGGGGACATTTTGTCCTTGCAAAAATCTTTTATTTCATCAACAGACATTTTTCCCTGATCTGCTACAACTAAAACTGTGGCAACTTTCTGACCCCAAATTTCATCTGGCACGCCCACCACGGCACAATCTGTAATATTTGGATGTGATAGAATGTGACGCTCAATTTCCAGTGCCCCGATTTTATATCCACCACTCTTAATGATGTCTACTGATGTTCGACCAACGATTTTATAAACTTCGTCTCCAAACACGACAGAATCACCTGAATATAACAACAGATAAATAACCTTAACAAACTTTGCACAGGTAAATTTAAAAAATAAAATAAAATAAGACATGGTTTTGTCCTTATACTGCTACACCTTTTCTTATTTACTACTGTTCTTTATTTCATCTGATGACAACATACATGTAAATTGTGTTGAAATGTCATGTACTTTGATATGTTAGAATGAATATTAAATGATACATTCTTTTGTGTTTTTTTTTTTTACATGTGCTCTCGGCTTATTAATGTCATTCAAATCTTATATGTAAAGGGAGACAAATCAGTTGCATTTCTATGAATTATTATATAGAAGGGAAAATGAAATAAAAAACACCATTTGGGCTAATGAAGACGTGCAACGCCATGCAGGGTACAATGAGGGAAATTTTGCCAGGACAGCAGCATTAGCCAGCTCTTTTTCGATTTCCAACTGTCGAGGGATCTTTATGGTGCACAGCCTGTAGCACACGGGGACAGATAGAAGGGAAGAGCAGGGGGAAACAGAATTGTCAAGGGGGGAATCACAGGACCAGCTAGAAACGTCAATGAGACAAACCTGTTTTGAAATAGCCGTCTGTGGTAAAAGACTTGTGGGTAGCATGTGGTTTATTCCAGTATTCACTGAAAACATTGGGTCCTCTAACATACAACTCTCCTATCATATTATCACACTCTGGAACAGAATCAATCTAAGAGTTTTACTGGTTGATTTGTAAGTATATGTTGGAATGTAACAGTTAATTGTTCAGGCATTGATTTTGGTCTTTAGGACATAAAAAATATTCATATATAAGCTTGTACTTGTTTGGGTTAATGTAGACCAACAACGCAATGCAGTGTGCTGTAAACTTTTATGAGGACATTAGCCTTCTCTTCACTGCATTCATATATCATTTCTCTTTTCCACTTGGTAAAGGGAGAGAACTTTAAATCTAATCTTACCTGGAGTGACAGTTGTGTGACTAGAATCACCTTGAACTATGACCTCATAACCTTTCTCTGACCTTTCTTCTTGCTTTTTAACTATACACACTTCTACGTTGGGAAAGGGCAGACCCACGGAGCCTTGAATTTTTAAAAAAATTGTCGTGGAAATTATTCTATCAGTTTAAAATGACTGTGTAACCATGTACAAGACTTGTTGATTGTGATTTCTCCATGTTATTTTGACTAATGGAATTGTGATTTTCTTTTAGTAGAGAATTTGATGGTAGACGGATATGGGTGATGCCCTCCTGCCCCTTTTGCCCTCCCTGTATTATGTGACTCACCTGGTATTCTAGGTCCATGTAGAGGATTAGATAACGCCATTCCTATTTCTGTCATACCATATCTTTCTAGTAGTCTGTGTCCTGTAATTTCTTCCCATCGTGTCATCACAGGCTCTGGCAGCGCTGCCGAACCACTCACCATTAATCTGGATAGCAAAGTAAAGAAATGAAATGAATGGAGTTTTATGTCCAACTTATGACCTATCCTATGTGCACCTGAATTGGCTAATTAAGACAGACAATGCCATACAGTGGGCAAGGAGTAGACATAAGCCTACTCTTTTTTCGAACTGTCACTGGAGTCCCTTTTGTTTTATGTTTTGTTTAGAAATTCCCTTATAATCTTGTCCTCACGTTTTCTTATCTTGTTCCATGTCATGATTTTTACTTAAAATAACCAATGAAATGTCAATTCTCTCAAAGGATGAGGTGTCTCTGTGGACTAATCATACTTGCTGCTTACCTGATTTTAGACTGACAGACATGTTTAATATGATCTCTTGTCTGAGTGTCTGTGATATGTTTATTATAATACTGTATTAATTTAGCATACATCGTTGGTACCCCCATAAATACATTGATATGTTCACCTCCTAACTGGGGAAGGGGTTCTGTCAGACACCTCCATACCTAAAATATATTTAAATTAACAATATTTTATTCATAAAAGAATTAAAGGGAAACTACACATCAAATTTTGATTCTGAAAGTGTTTTTGATAGTTGAAATGAGGCTCTATCACCAGTATTAAGTTGACTATACCTCATTCATCAAGATGAAAATTTTGTGTAGATTCTTCACATATTCCTGAACTTTCCTTTTTGTAGTGTTTCTACACCTATGACGGGTGTGGCGCCAGGCAGGGCATGCTTACTCTTCTAGACACCACTTTTCACTATGAAATACTTACTCACTTATGATTGGTATACTTCCTCATGTGAAAAGTTCATTAGCTGCTATTAATATTTTGTTTTCGTCTTCAGATCGTTAACTTGGATTACTTATTTGAGAAAAAATTCTTTGTCAGTGAAAATTTGAAAGTTAACCCCTACCCATCTACCTGTTTAGCATCGAACTGTGGTAACATGTAACACAAGGCTCCAACTTGTAGCGAGGTCATTAAAACATTGACGATACCATGTACATGATGTAGAGGCAGAGTGTGTAATATTCTGTCTTGATTAGTCCAGCCCCAAGACTGGATCATACCAGACATCTGACTACATAGATTACCATGGGTTAATACCACTCCCTGGAAATGAAAAGAGGATTTCACCATTCAATGTTCAATCAGGGAATCTTTCCAATCATCAATCACATTTTCATTTTCTTGTTCAGTTTACAACTTCTTTGAAATCTTGTATACATCTTTATTCTTAGAATAATACTTGCACAAATCAAACTTACTGAATTTTTGCATTCCTTATTTTTCTCATATGCCTCAATTGTTGAAAACTGACTCCAATGTTAAAACCTAGCTGTGAATATGGGGATTCTAGATCACAAAAATTTGTTTGCAGCATCTAAAACCTCTTTACCTTTGGTCTGTCTGTAGTACCAGAAGTATAAACAATCATGGCTGGTTTATTTTGGTATTTAACATCAGTTTTACTGTGGTTTATAAAATTTCCTTCTTTAATATCAACTTCTACTGCTGTATCATAATCTAACTGAAATGGAAGGAGAGAAGATTCAAATATCTAAAACACAATAATAAAGGAATATATAGATAGAGCCCAGGCTCCTAACCAAAAATATTGTTTGTTAAAAAAAAAACTGAAAAATAAATTTGCATTGATATGTAATAAGTAATTACATTACGTGTGGCAACAAACAGTCCCTGAGCTCAGGTGGTATCCAAGAAACTTCATGAAATTAATTCATGGGATTCTATTTAAGTATTGACAATTTTTACTCTATTTCTGAAAGATATGGGGGTACAAACAGACACAGCATCAAAACATTGAAAAAAGGGGCACCAAGAAAACAACATAAAACTCCATTCATTTCATTTAGAATCTTGAAAGAAAAACTGCCAATTGCATAGTAACCTACCTTAATGATATCTGGAAAGGATTGTAAAACATTTTTTGGGAATGGCTGATCTTTAAAACTTATCACGATCGATGGCTCTACATCTTGAACAAAATATTCCAGATCGGAATTGGAGCATGATTTACTGATGGGGACACATACGCCACCTAGCATCCATATTGCCCACGTAATAACGGTGTATCTACGATCATTTACACTTTGAAATAAAACACGTTCATTTTCATCGAATGATTTACAACCACACAGATTTTGAATTTTCCGAGCCACAATCTCACTTTCTCTGAATAGATCCTCATATTTCAAACTTTTTTCAAAATCAATGATGGCCGTCCTTCCGAAATCTTTCTCAACATTTAAAAAAGTTGGTAATATATTATTTTCATTTTTAACTCGACCTGAATGTCTTTTTCTATTCCAACAACTCAAATATTTGGGGTCACATTTCATCAAATTAGAAATGGTTTGAAATTGCTTGAATTTTCTACTAGCACTTTTGAAGCACCAATTTGGAATGAGCACTTTTTGCAAAACCTGTGAAGCCATCTTCCATTAAATTACGACGATTTCCTGAAAACAAAAGTGAAGTTTACGAGATAATTATGTAGACCAAATGGTACTTCATTCTATTTCAATAAGTTTTCTTTTATATTGGAGTTTTCTCCCTTGCATAATTAAGGATTGTGTCTTATCTTATCTTATTCAATCTTGAAGATGTGAACAAAAGCCTTTAGCAGTCAAATGAAAAAACTCCAATATAATTACTTACAGAATCAGACAACAGTGAACTCTTCAATCTTCAACCCAAATTTTTCATTTTTTGGGATTAGAATAGCAACACAATTTTCCCATTCAGAAATCATCAGAGATCAGAGTGACAAACTTCACAGAATATCTCCCCACCACCTTAAAAAAAAATATGTGACTTAAAAATTTATCATGAATTAAGATCTTCAAAGAGACGGGTGCGTATTATACATAGGTGCGCAAAATACACGGCATTGTACGATATAAGAAACTTAAGCTGAGCTATATGTATCATTATCCACTTTGGCTCATTAAGCAGCGATGGCAATGCCAAAAACGACTGCACAATGGCCGAAAAGTTTCAATGTAATAAAATATTGAAGTAAATTTGTCTTACAATCTTTAAAAGAGCTCGTTTATCGTCATAAGACCACTGTCATAAACTCAGAGTGCAACCGCCATTTTCCGTTAGGTTGTAGAGTTGTGTCCCTTTACATATTCAGACCACATCAATTTAATCCTGAAATATAACTACCTCCCAAGAGAAACGTCATTAAAAATCTCATCAAGGTAGAATGATCTTGTAATAATTGAGGTTGTGCAAAACTAGCCTTGTTTTGAGCTATGTGTGCTCTCTGAAAGAGATGCCGAGTTGCATTTCTGCTTTGCATGACACCTATTATTAAAGCCAATCAAGAACACTCTAGTTCTGAAATATCTCTAAGGAAAATGTTAATTTAACAAAGTCAGCACTAGCACATTGTTTGTTCCAGAAAAAGATGAGCATGTCCTGTCTTGTTGACAACGTCAATCATTAAAGTCAATCTACAGGTCTTGCATCAAGTATATGTATTTATCCGACTTATGTGCACTCTGCAGAAAATGTGGAGTTATCTGACAAACAAGATGCAGTGGAATATTGAGTGTTCCAGAAATGTTGAGGATGATTTGTCTGGCCAAGAACACCTCTTGTCAATATATGTCACTAACAAAATTACGTCAGTAGTGGAACAATACCAAGTAGTGGTGTTCCTATGAATCGTTGTGTAGAGGGGCCAAGTAGGGGACATTGTCAAGGGGGTCAGGCATTTAAGAACTTAAAAATAATAATTTGTAACTATAGGTATGGGGTGAGGGCTAATTCTTTGTGGGGCCATAGAAACCCCCGTAGAAACGCCAGTGTGATCAAACCCCAGAGCTATACTCTGCTGTTGGCCTATCATTTAATCTACATAAGTAATTTGTATTGTGTCCTGGATAATGACAGGATGTAACGAGCTAATCAGGCGTGAAAGGTCTGTGATCGGATAGTAACACTGTGGTCGGAGCCCTGGGGAGGGGTGGGGTATGTTGTGGTGACCTATACCACACGTCTTAGTCTTGAATTAAATTGAGAGAGATTGAGCTAAAATCATTGTACTGTTAACATATTACATCTTTAAAATCTTGGAAACTCAAAATACCTTATCTCTTGCCCGAGGCTACGCCCGAAAACATATTGAAGAGACCAGAATATGACTCTCGGATAAGATCCGCCCCAAGTCATTCAACCAAAACTTAGCAACCTTCACAGTTTAACATTGCCTCTATTCTGAGAACAGCCTCATTAGGCGAACTATTGTCAAGATTACTAATTATATAATCTTAACGAACGCTGAACGACCATTTCATATCATTAACTACCACTCAGTGGTAGAGACCTTGATTTTGGACTTCTGAATGTGATAATATGTAAGAGAATTTGGCATTTGGATAAGCTTTATTTCATTGACCTCCTGCCTGGTGGAAAGGGCTTTTGTGGCGAATTTCAAGACTTTGGAGCTGCCTGATTGAATGTGCTATAATAGGAGAGAATTGAGACAGTTTGGAAATACTGGTACTTCAGAGAGAACTGTAGGATCTTGTGCCTTGATGACCTTTGAGTGTCCAAAGAGTTCTCTACAGAAAATCTGAAACTTGGATAATCTTAGGCCTCCTCGACAATTCCTTTTTGACGTTTGAAAAAGCAAACGGCAAATCATTGGACAGAAAAACAGCGGTAATACTGTCTGACTTTTGGTGGTTTAAATGAAAGTTTAGAAAAAAGGAAAGCACAGAGGGAATACACGTTAAGGAATTGTAGTTTACAGATAAGCGTGCACAACGTTTCAACGATTTACACTTTCATCATCAAAGATAGATAGCCTACAAAATAATTGTACAAAGTTTATTTGTTAGTTCATTAAGTGTATTGGGGAGTCATATTTCCGGAGTGCAACGTTTCATCAATTTACAGTGTTATCTTCTAGGAAATAAGGACCAAGACCAACATCAATGGAGCTGTATTTTGGTTGGTGTTTGGTTTTGCTCGGGTTAGGACATGTGGTTGACTCTGCGAACCAATCTCAATTACTATCGGATTTATTCACCAACTATTACCAAGGGATTGTTCCGTATTGTTCTGGTCAGGATAAAGGGGTCGAAGTTGGGTTGGGAATCGCAATCCGATCCCTGATCGACGTTGACGAACCCACCCAAATCATTGACATCAATGTGTGGGTAAGAATGTCGTGGACGGATTGCCATTTGGTCTGGAACGCAAGTGACTACGACGGAATAAACGAGTTAGTTGTTCCATACGACAAAATATGGGTGCCGGATGTGACTCTTTACGACAACAACCAAGACGGAGACCAGGGTTTGCTGCCCGGATTGACGGACTTCAGACCCAAAATTAAATCTGACGGATCCATTCATTATAATTTCCCCACAGTTCTTCACAGCTTGTGTACCATCGACTCCACATATTTCCCGTTTGACACCCAAACGTGTCCATTAAAGTTCGGATCATGGTCGTACGACGGATTTCACGTTGATGTAAAAAATGTCAGTGCGAGTGCGGACACCAGTTCGTTTAAGAAGAACACAGAATGGGAACTTGTCAGTGTCGAAGCTGTCCATCATGAACTATTTTACTCTTGTTGTGAGGCGCCTTTCCCGGATGTAACTTTTTATTTGACCATCAGCAGACGATACCTTTCATTCGTGGTCAACATCATAGTACCCTGTTTTATGATCGTTTGCTTGGCACTGATTGGATTTCTTCTTCCGGTAGAAGCGGGAGAAAAAGTTGGACTTGAAATCACAGTTCTGCTTGCTCTTGCTGTTTATGCCCAGGTCGTCTCGGACCAGCTTCCGCCATCGAGCAATTTACCATATATGGGCCTATTCTTTGCGTGTGCGTTGCTGATAACAATGTTCTCGTTGATCATGGCGGTCTTTGTGATTAATTTGCACCACCGAGGAGAATTAGGATATCCGGTTCCAAAGGTGATCAGATGCATCGTCTTCAACGGTCTGGCCAAAATTGTTTTCTTTGATGTTGAAGAAGAAAATGAAGAGGAGGCGGTGTCCACATCTCAACATTCTGTCAGCAAGCAGGAAACGCTTTCTTCCATTGGCGATCTGGAAATGGCAGAAATTACTCTAAATCCAAAAAACATCAAAGTGCCAAAAATATCAAAAATTTCTGACAAGGAAGTTGAAAAAGTGAAGAATTCTGCGAATCAGAATTCGAAGCCAGTGGCAGCATCAGCCTGTAAGAATGATAATATTGTAGAAATTTTGAGAGATCAGTTTCGCAATTTATCTTACATCAAAGACTCGCTGGTGAATAATAAAGATGATAAAATTAAATCCGACTGGGAAAGAGTTTCCATAGTGATAGACCGATTCTGTTTTCTCCTGATGACCATAATAACGATCTTGGCCACTGCTTCTGTGGTCATTTTAATGTCGTGAACATATGATGGTGTTTTTTTATAATTCCATATTGATATTATAATGATTTGAATAAGTCTGATGTCAATTTAAGATGAATAAAGTATTTTTAACAAGAAAATTGTGTCCTTTAATACACTTTTGATAACCTCTTGTCTTTTTTCACAATTTTACCAGAGATCTATATCTGTGACTTTTCTCCAGAAATTAAGATGAACTGGGTTTGGCCAACCCCCACTTATAAATTTCTGATCATTTATAGGTATATATCCTTGTCAGTCTCCATCTGATCAACCTATTTACCTATTATTACATAGTACCAACTTTTGGCACAAACACCCTTCCATATTTCTTCACATCTTAGGCCAATGAAATTTGAAAAAAAAAATTGCAAGGCAGATTTGTCCATTCTTTTTCAAATTCCAACATGAAAATACAAAACTTCCCTACAGTCTGCAGTTGTGTTCTATCTGAACAACTAGAAGTTTTTTTATAATTCAAAGCCACTGTAATTTTTTGAAATTTTCAATCTTATTTATATTTTTATATGACAAATGACAAAAATAAAAATATACACACTACACAAGCTACATGAAAATATAAAAACATTATTTAAAATATCACAGTTAAACATATTACAATACTTTTCACATGCAAACAGACCAAGTTCAGTGTTCGATTCTCGATTCTCGAGTATCCATACAGCTAAAATCAAATTGTGTCCCAAAGCATGGTTTGTATTGTTTCATTTACTTTCTACTGTTTCCATAATCCAACACCATACACGACCAAAGGACACCTTATTTTGTCTATTCGCCCACTGTCTGAACATTTCGTGTAATTAAATTTCGTCACCACTATTTAGAACCAACAATAAAATTCAGACGGAAAACTGAGGACAACAGTTAAATGCTTCTTACTATGATGTCATCATCTCAACTGTTTTAATCGGACATCGGCACCAAAATTTATCAAATGGCTCTTAAAAATCATCAGCACCACTGTCCAATCGCCTTGGAGATCCTGAATAACTGTCCTCTATGTCAGGAGAGTTGATAAAAAGTTGTGTTTTGGCGGCAGGTCTCTTGTCGTCTGCTACAGAATTATTGTGAAGAGAATCTCCATCAGGTTTCGACGCAATATGATTAAAAATAGATTTGTCCTTGTTTAGAAAACTGTCGTCCGTTTGGTTGAACTGGGACTTTTGCAAAATGGATGAATTGGGTGGGAAAACGGAGGGCATTGAAAACGACATCTGCATGAATGGTAATTGATGGTTATCCAGTCCTGCCATTGTGATTAGATTACCAAGTCTGAAATAAAACCAAGAAAAGTTTTAATTGAATCATTTATATTTTAGATTGCAAATTAAATAGAATTTCATATCCTGATTTTATATGGTATCAAAGAATTTGCATCTCTGAGTATAAATGCAAAATTTTCTGACTTACCCAGCCTCAGTCAGCATATCTAGAAACTGATGGAATTGTTTAAACGAAGCTTCCACACTCTGTAGTAAAATATCATCTCCTGATCCGAGTGAAACTTGTTGTTTTAATAACTGAATATCTCCTTCTAATTTCTTATTCTCTAGAGCCAACTGAAATATTCATAATAACATGGTTAAAGAGTCTCAGTGTGCAATGAGAGAAATTTTCCACCTCTTTTTCAATTTCTCCGTAATTTCTTTTTCTCAATAGCCAACTGAACTGGTATATTTCAAATAACAAATTGCAAATGTAATTTAAGTCACTTTGTGCAATGAGGGAAACTGCAACATGTGACAACTCTTTAACAATTACATTAAGCTTCAAGCCATAGGACTTGGACTTGAGCCTGCCTTCACAGTGTATAGTGGATGTCTAATTATAGTTAACTGATGGTGTTATATTTCACAGGAGTATATTGGTCTTTAACGAGCGCTACAACCTTCGAATCATTTTATAGAAATTACAGTGTTATCTCCCTTGAACTGACCTGTAATAGTGCTTGATCAGAAGTGGCTCGTGCTATTTTCTCTTCTCGTAAACTTCTACGTAGCTGTTCTATTTCAACCTGGAATTACACATTCAATTAAATCAATGTTCTACACCTTATTGAGATGATGAAGATCTGCCACACCATAAAGTGTACATTGACTGACTTGATCAATCCATTAATCGATATATAAACACAGCTTTATGGAACAACAATCACTGGTTAAAGTTTTATGCAACGTTTCGACGTGTTTCCCCTGTCATCCTCAGGCACATAATGAGAAGAAGTGTTGGGCAAACTATATATATTACATGCCATTCAAAGACTTTAATCCTTTAATCCTGTAATCCTTTGAATATGATATAGAATTAATGATGCACAAGAAACTTCTCAAAATGTACCAAATCAGCCTAAATGAGTATTGTACATTGGTCAATGAGGAGAATTTAGTAATGACATAATTATTTAATATTTTTTAGCTGCTCAAGATCTTTGACATGAAGTCTGCCGTTTAGGGCACACACAGTCTTGGATAATGTCATGGTTACATGAATAGACAATTTGACTATGGTAACCTCTCCATATTAAGAAGCCAACCTGGCCATTGTAGTGGATATAAAGGGTCGGGTAAAACTAATATTTAGCCAACCTAGATGGTTTAAAGGTTAAAGCTTACCTTGACTTCTTTAGGATTATTAATATTAATGGTAATATCATGATCATTAAAACTTCTATAATGAGTTATGTTCTCTTTGTTGATGATGATTTCTGATTCGCTAGGAAGTTCCGTCATATTCGGAGATAAACATTCACTTAACTCAAAACTCTGGGTAGAATCTGTACCAAATCCCCTAAAATAACAATATACGACTTTTATTAAAACTTATGAGCATTCATCAATGCCTTTCTTGACACGTTCAACTGAGGTTTCTTCTGCTTTAAAATATCTTTACATTTAGTTGATGAAAGGATTTGAGGAACTACATTTTGTAGTTTTAGGATGTATTGAGATGAGTTTCAATGAAAGCACTGGCCTGGGTCACAGAGCAATAGATAAGTTTATTAATTATGTGATAATTAGTTAGTCATTAGTATGATATTAAAGCCTTCTACTGAACAAGTCATGTCAAATCAAAAAGTTATAACAGACATGACAAAACGCAGTTCAGTATTTCATAAAGATGGGAGACAACTCTGCCTTCATTCACAGAAGTTTTTCCCATTAACTCACAATCTGCTATATCATGGTACAAATAATCTGCGTTAGGGTTTAATGTTGAACCTTGAAATCTACGAAAAACATACCTAAATCTATTGGCTCTCTCTGCTGTTCTCCATGGCAACCCAGGACTTTTTAAAACTTTACGACTTCTAGCTTTATTCACTGACTCAGCAGATATCGTGATTTTCTTGGAAGAAACTGGCGTCTAAAATAGATTCAAGTTGTTGAGAATTTAGACAATGGTTTAGATGAACAGTGATACAAGATGAAGTTAAACTGCAATCAGAAGTTTTGGTGGATATTTTTGAAATAATGACTCTTTTTGAAAACGAGGTCAAATATTAAAATTTCTAGACTGATGTTTTACAAACTTCAATTAAGATTTATCCCACATTTTTGAAATAATGAAATTTTTAAAAATTCCTTGAATTACCTTTTGTGTTAATTTTCTATCAAAACTACTGTTAAGAAGTCTGGTGGCTCGTTTCCGTGGTTTCCGTTTGACGTCTGGTGAAACATCTTTCTCTAGCCATTTATACTGTAAAATATAATAATAATATAATAATATAAAACTGCTAATAGCTGGGGTAATGATAGAGGTAGGATGAATAAGCTAGGACAGCATAAACTGAAACTTTTTAATAAGAGATAAACATTGGCTATGCGACCAGTTATCCCTGATTATCAGTGACTAGTTTTGTTCGTGTTTGAACTCTTCAGACAGATATGATTAGACACTTCTCAGACACATGTACATTGAAATTAGTTGATTGTAAAGCATGTATGATCTATTGTATAGATATATAGAGACACACAGAATGTAAGTAGACATATGAGTGGATATTAGATATAGGTCAAGAAAGACAGACGCATGGATGGATTGATGGCTATAAATTAAGAGAGAAGGTTGTATGATAAAGTGTACATACTTCAGTATCTATACCTTTACTATTCAACATCAGTTGTTCCATTATAGCATGGAGTATATCACGATCTGAAACATAACACAAACCCTTGATCAGTTTCTACAATTTACACTTTAAAGAGATTGTACAGAGGTTACTTAACTTTTAATGTGTATCAGGAACACTGATTGACGACTCTCAGTTAAACCACCATTCTAATTTTCAGTTAGACATCTGTGGTTCTTGACTAAGTGTTTTGTATAGTTAAACATTTCTATAATAACAGTAACAATAGAAAAATAGAATGAGTTAGGAGTCATAAATGACCTTGATAAAAATTTCTCCACATAGCAGTAGAAGTAACTAAAATACTCCATACTCTTATAAAGGTTGGGGAGTCCCATTGAAATCTGTCTCGGAAACCCTTATTGTACCTTTATGATATCTGCTAGCTGTATTGTTTTTGAAAAAGCATTGTCATAATCTAGTCAAATATTTTGGAAATTGCACGAATTGTTATTGCAAAAGAAAATGTACTTGTGTTTGCCCTCCAATTCTTGTTTCCGCCAAGCCTAAAAACTAGAATTCACCTGAGAATGAGATCTAGAGATAAGGGAAATACAAAACACATTATCACAATGGTTATGTGTGCCTGATACATGTACAAAAAAAGGCTAGAAAATATCTTCTAAATCCCTTTCAGTTAGTCTTTCAGTTAGTCTTTCAGTTAGTCTTACAGTTAGTCTTACAGTTAGTCTTACAGTTAGTCTTTCAGTTAGTCTTTCAGTTAGTCTTTCAGTTAGTCTTACAGTTAGTCTTTCAGTTAGTCTTACAGTTAGTCTTTCAGTTAGTCTTACAGTTAGTCTTTCAGTTAGTCTTTCAGTTAGTCTTACAGTTAGTCTTACAGTTAGTCTTTCAGTTAGTCTTTCAGTTAGTCTTTCAGTTAGTCTTTCAGTTAGTCTTACAGTTAGTCTTTCAGTTAGTCTTTCAGTTAGTCTTTCAAAGTAACAAATTCATGCTATATATTTCTGGTGCTTCTTTAATATTTATAAGGTTTCTATTTCACATATTAATCTAACGTTATTTTGTAGAGTAGCTTTTTATATCCAGTCTTATAAAATATTCACGATGGTTTCGCATTTAGATTCTGTCATTGTACCACACTAAATTATTGATAAAACTCATCAAGGGCAATAACTCTGTATTGATTGAGTTATTATTGATTGAAATAAAAGATTCAAGTGATTATAACGTAACTTGTGATTCAGCTAGGCGTTATTTTATGTCTGTCCACGAATGTTGATTTCTGAAACATGTTCTGATTTGAATTCCGTAATGACTGAGTAGTCTCAAGAGGAAACCAGTCTAATCAAAATTATACCAAACTTACGTCTCGTTTTTTATATTAGCTTTTATTTTTAATAAACCTCATTTAGGATCTAATAACAGCCCTCTTAAAAGTTTGTCAAATCAACCTATTGACTTTTTTGACCTTTCTACGTACCTATCAGAGAGTTTTTTCTGACATCTAAAATAACTATGGTAGTATTATATTCTAGGACGTCTAATAACGCTCTAGCCCCAGTAGTAGATATACCACATGACTGTAGGTCTAATGCTGAAAAGATATTTATTGAATACATTTAGTTTCTCAATATAAAAGGGGTCTGGGGTTTGTTCTGATTGGACAATAAACCGTGGTCCTGTGTTCTAATTTTTGTTGAATGTTGGAAATTAAATGGATTAGTCTAATGATATTGTCCTGAAAAATTTCCCTCGTTGTACACTGCATGGTATAGCCAGTCCTCTCATGAAAAACCCAAAAATGGATCTTAAAAATATGACATTAAAGTTCATTTCATTTTTGATTCCTTTAAAAGATGTAAAATAATGATGAAGAAAGATTCTATTGACTGAAATCAGTCTGAAAATCTACGATTCAGAGACGTTAATTAAACATGAAAGGCAATTTATCACTAACGAGGTTTTAATTAATTACCTTTCAGCCATAAATCATCTTTCAGAGCATCCGCTAACGACATGGCTCCCTGATCACCAATTAACGGATTATCATTGAGAGTTATTCGTCGTATTCCAGGCATACGATCTAAATCGGGTCTACGATATCGTAAACTATCTCCCCACGCTTCACTGTGACGCTTCATGGCTTGATGCTGAAAGAATAAAAAAAAGCCAAATTCAAAATCATACAAAAAACTTCATGTATATTTACTAGAATAATGAAATATATTCACTGTTAATATATCAATAGAAATGTCTAGCATTAGGGTGTATTGAGACAGGGTGTATTGAGACAGGGTGTAGGGTGTATTGAGACAGGGTGTATTGAGACAGGGTGTATTGAGACAGGGTGTAGGGTGTATTGAGACAGGGTGTATTGAGACAGGGTGTATTGAGACAGGGTGTGGGGTGTATTGAGACAGGGTGTATTGAGACAGGGTGTAGGGTGTATTGAGACAGGGTGTATTGAGACAGGGTGTATTGAGACAGGGTGTAGGGTGTATTGAGACAGGGTGTATTGAGACAGGGTGTAGGGTGTATTGAGACAGGGTGTATTGAGACAGGGTGTGGGGTGTATTGAGACAGGGTGTAGGGTGTATTGAGACAGGGTGTATTGAGACAGGGTGTATTGAGACAGGGTGTAGGGTGTATTGAGACAGGGTGTATTGAGACAGGGTGTGGGGTGTATTGAGACAGGGTGTATTGAGACAGGGTGTATTGAGACAGGGTGTATTGAGACAGGGTGTAGGGTGTATTGAGACAGGGTGTAGGGTGTATTGAGACAGGGTGTATTGAGACAGGGTGTATTGAGACGTGTCAGAGCAGAGGCTTGATGAAAACATTATCATACAACTTAAACGTCACTTATTGGTGTTTACGCTTAGTCTGCTCTGGATAGATCCCCAAAATACACTTTTCATTTTCATTTCTACTTCTGTTTCTTGCTTTTCAAGTACTTCAGATTCAAATGACAATAAAAAAATTGTTTATGCCAAGGCCAGTGCTGTCGAGAGTCTCCTAGTATTACGTTGCTGGTACTGCCGAAGTAAGTATTAGGTACGGCTTTCAATCCCTTCCACAAGTTTCAGAATTAGACTGTCTTTAGTGAATCAACTTAAGCAGTAGTTGTTATTTGTAATAATTAATCAAATTATATTATGGAAAGGGTGTGATATAAAAAGATGAAGTTATCAGATCACTATGCAGTGTACAATGATGGAATTCAGCTGGTACAAGGACAGTATATACTTCTTTCGTAGTAATATTTTAATAATTAATCAAGTTATATATGGAAAGTATGTGATATAAAAATATGTTTGTGTAGAAACGACGAGATAGTTATAAATAAATTAATAATTACAGGTAACGAAGTAAAAGATTTCATTAATGTTGTTATTATAATAATATTAGCTAGTTTTAATGTTCTGAAGACTTGGGATTCGAAAAAAATAATTAAGATTTCATCATTGAATATAAGTTATTATAAGTCATCAGTGATAACAATCACTTTATTTCTTAAACACAACCTCTCAACAAGATTTCACCGGTCCTTATCAAGTGTATAAAATATGACAAAAAAATGTCAGGTTTGCTAAAGAAAGAGAAACAGAAAAATAAAAAATAGGAATAGAAAAGGTACAACATCCAAAGACTACTTCTACCATGTTTCCCTTCAGCAAAATATATTTCTCTAATTTTTATTTCTACAATGCAAGAATCAAATACCAATCAAACTAAACCTGAAAACGGAAACAAGTTAGTTCTAGCTTCTTACAATTTCTTTTAGAAATGAAATGATTGTGAAATAAAATGGCTTTAAAAGAAAAGTTTTCAAACCTAAAAAATTACTCGTCAAATTAAGGAATGTGTCAAGAAAACATGTTTTTAAAATGTCCAGGGTTGAAATTATCATTTCTCTTCTTTCTAATCAGCTAACTCAACACACTTTTTTCTTTGAAACAAAACACATAAAAATCACCTTACACTTCACTTTTTATACGCCTAAAATAATCTATGGACATGACATTTTGGATGCTAAATTATTTAGAGCATCAAACTAATTCATGACAAATTTTTTCTCGAAATAAAGTCAAAATTATCGTTAATTAAAATCAACTTCCAATTCAAAAACTGTACTCTGTGTTCTAAATTAAAAATTCCACAAAAATTCCTAGTGTGCCAGTTTTTAAGTATAACAGTACGTGCTGTTGACGATGTTTAACATCAATAAAGTGATCTGGATATCTTCACTCTATAATATGATTATACATTTCCTGTGTTTTTATACCACAAAACACTAGGTGTACAACCTAACTTAATTTACACATCAACATCTTTTCTTCACTAATTTCTCTCTTAAACAGTCATACAATGTATAACATCACTGTCAGGAGTGTTATGACGCCTGTAATTACCAGTCACATATATTCATAAAGATATTTAATTTAAACACAGATCCCAAAAAATGTATGTTTAATTCTATTATACACTTATACCCCCCCTTTCGCAGTGGCAAATAAACTTATTCGCTTATAAACAAGAGTTATCTAGATTGAAAAAGCTACCCCCCGGGAGGTTGATTTTGTCTGGATACAGTCCAGATAGTGGCAGTGCGAAACCGAACAAGAAGTTAGTGGGATAATTATATCACATGAATAAACACAAAAAGGTGTCTCCTGTTGGCGGGGACGCTTTGTTAGAGAATTACATAAAAATCACATGAAAGGGATTAACAAAATACATGAATATATATGAAACAGAAAATAAGATGGTCATTATGTTAATATTTTATAATAATGAACATTGTTGTTGTATTCCCTCATCTGTGACATGGCGTGTTACTAAAAATAAAACAGATAACTTTTCTCGGCAGTGCGAAAACAAACTGAACCGAATCAAATCAAACTGAATCAGATTTTTTCTATTTGGTTATAACCGAATTCAATAATCAAGTTGTGTAGTGCGAAAGGGGTATTAAAGAATATCAAAAAATTACTCTTTTAAATACATTTAAGGTTATCAAAACAGAAAACTTCCTGATAAATTCCAGATTTGAGTGAAGAAATTAATTAGTAATTCATTCTAGTGATCTCCCACCATGATATCAAAAAACAAGATAAATTAACAATCTTGATGAAAACCATTCTTATTAAGAAAACCTTTCACTAGCACTGCAGTTAGTCAGTAAAATATTTTATTACGCCATTTTGTAAACAAGCACATTTCATTTTTTGACTGGTTTTTACCTGGAATGAAAACTTTGTTGAGGCCTGGTGTTAAAGGGGTCTAAATATCTGGTCAAACTTGAACCCTATTTAAGCAATAAGAGAAAACAAATTTCCATGGCTACTCTTTAACTATCTTGAAGGACTTCTGTAATTTAGTTGGTTAAACGTATTTTGCTTGTCTATGTTGAACAAATGGTAGTCAAGGGTTCTTATCTCGCTCGTCGTGTGACAGTCTGTTGACCATGAATAAGTCAACTTTCCTCATTATTCCAGTCAACCCAGCTGTACATGGGTACAGATAATCTGGGAAAAATCAATGCCAAGAGGTTTGGCCAAGGACCAGCTGGTAGAAAGATTCCTTGTGAATTAAAGTTGTATTCCTTGTAAAAATGGTGGCTTCTTTCTTTTCTTTCAGCTGACCTAGTCTTTCTAAATTAATATCGTTTGTCAAGTTTCGTGTCCCAATATTCAATAAGAATCAATATTACTAATGACCTCTTCAGATTTTCTGACCTTTTTTCACGTCTTCTTTAGAAAATAAGGTGACCTCTATGTCAGGAAATGAATTGGTCAAGAAGAAAGTTATTGAGAAAAGTCGTTCATTTCGGGAGATGTTTATTCTGGAAAGTCAACAAATTTCTGACCTTCAAGGATAGAGTTTTCTAATTTCAACTGGTTGAATTAAATTCAATAACATTTTTGGTTTTTCCATTGATATCATAAGAGGCAGAAATCATCATTTAATGAACTATATTTGCTTAGATAACTTTCAAAAAATGATGAGATTTTATAGTTTTTGTTCATTTTGAACTCTGCTTTTAGACATTTTTTTTATAAAATTGAAAATGAAAACTCCCACTATCAGTTGCTTTCAATAAACTACAATAGACAATATCATCATTTTTATTTTCAATCTGACATTAGAGACAGTAGAATCATATTCAATCAGTTTTTAATCAATATCTACAGAACAATATCCCTTTAATACAGAAAGACTAGGTCAATAAAATACGAACAATCTGACCCTTTTATCAAAAGATACAGAAACCTAGAGATGGACATTAACCTCACAGAAAGACTCGGACAAATAAGTTTGTTAGAAATGTCGGATCTTACAACCAATAAAGATCTATAATTCTGACGTCTCCTTAAAGCATTAATATTGAAGATCAATAACTTTTCTCTTAATTTGATAAATTACTGGACGTTGGTCATCCTCTCACTCGTGCCAGTCAGTCCACACTTCGCGTCCAATCTGGTAATTGTGAAGATTTGATAAATGACTGGTCAACCGTCGTAGTCCAACTCGCACGGGTTCTTTACCGACTCGTGGAGAGTCTCACGCCTTTGTTAATTTATCAAAATTAATAGCTCCAGCTGTCAGATAGAAGAGAATAAATGATCAGGACTACTTGTATGATTGCCGATAACTTTAAGACTGTTGTGATGGGAGTGAGACATGTTTTTCACATAATTTACCTAATTTGGGACGACTACACAATTCTTTTCACAATCGAGCTACAAACTAAAAGCCAGCCAAATCCTTTTTGGATCAGACCCGGTATTCTCGAAACGATCTTAACGCTAGGACGTCCTAAAAACAGGACATCCTAGTACTAAGATCGTTTTGAGAATACAGGGCCAAATTTTCATATTAATTTTTCTTCCAATAACATCTTTTAAGGTGTTTCTGTTTGTAAACTTTTCAATTAACTCAACTCAAAAATATCCCTAAAACAAGACCAAATACATTATCATGGACTCATCTTATACAGCTGTCAAACATGTTTCAGAAATAAAATCCTCATCAGGACCTACAAAAGCTACAAGATTTTTAAGAAAAGCTTGTCTGACACTACTGTCACATGTTTCAGATAATAATCGTCATCAGGATCTACACAAGCTACAAGATATAAAAGCTTGTC